ACACACCCACATGGCTGACCATGGTTTGAGTCCCGGACCTGGCAGCTTGCTTTCTCAATCTTTCTCTCTCTCTGTCTGTCTCTGGTCAAATTAAGAATAAATGAATTAATAAATAAAATAAATAATTATAAAAAAGAGAGAGAGAGAGAATGGAGGGAAGTCTGCTTCCTGCTTGGAAGGGAGATTAGGCTGCTCTACTGAGTCTGACTTTACAGCTAGGTCAATAGGGAAGGCATCAGTGTCGTCATGGGTTTTCTTTTTCATTTTGGCGTTTACTTTTCCTGAGGTTCAGAAACACTGACTATTACACCAAGAGAAACACCAAGTCACTGATCTTCCCGGGTAGGGTTGCTGCACATACAAGTGACAGGGCATGGTAGGAGACACAGGCCAGCAGCTCAGTGACTGAATGTGTCCCACTTCCCCATCGGCCTGTGTCACTGTGTAGGCTGTCCACATCCCAGGACTGACAGTAATAGTCGGCCTCATCCTCAGGCTGCAGCCCCGAGATGTGCAGAATGCCAGCGCTGGCCGAGGTGTCCTTGGATCCAGAGAAGCGGCTGGGGACCCCGGAGCCCTGGTGCTTGTTGGAGTCTCAGGAGGTAGCGCGGGCGACGCCCTGGCTTCTGCTTGAACCAGGATATGGTATAGAGCTCCACACTGAGGTCACTGCTCAGGGTGCAGGTGAGTCTGACAGATGCTCCCAGAGACGCAGAGAGGGAGGATGGCTGAGTCACCACGACCTTAGAGAGAGAGACTGGAGGGACAGACACTTCTGTGTGAGGGAGCAGAGACCAGTGATTTGCCACAAAGGTTGACCCACACGGGGAGCTGTCCCATGTCCCCAAGGCCTGACCCCACCTGTGCACTGAGACAGGAGCACCAGCAGGAGAGCAGTCCAGGCCATGGTGGACACAGCTCCTTGTCCCCACCTGGGCTAGGCTACCCCAGGCTTATCTTATCCTCCCTACTGTCCCCAGAGAAAAGCAGGGCTGTTTATGCAAATGAACCCCACCCCCTCATGTGGCTTTCAGACCCCAGCTGATCTCTGGTTCAGGAGACTGAGGGTGGGGCCCACTGGAGTGGGATCCCAGGAGGGAGGAGGAGGGAGCAGAGGCTGGGAGCATCCCCAGGACCCTCTGCCAGGCCCTGAGAGCACCAGGCGGCTGGGTCAGCCCTGAGCACAGGGCAGTCAGCCTCTGCCAGCCCTGAGGCCAGTGGGGCCACGCAGTGTGAGGAGTCCCTGCAGCGCTGGACAGCTCCCAGCACCCACCCCTTGCGGGTCTGCGTGTTTCAGGCTGAGGATAGGGACAGATAAATGTAGTCCAATAACAAAGAGGTGTGAAAATAATACTTTTAATTGTTTTCACATAGGTAAAAAAAGGTAAATATTTGTATTCTGTTTGTTTGTAATGGTATTTTTATTATGCAAATATTTACTAAGCATAAAAAATAATGTACTAAGGGTGGACACTTCCCGACTCTCGCCTCCACTGGCCAAGCTGTCTCCAGGCATCCACAGCATCAGAGATCTCACGTGCTCTCTCCTGTCTCCCTCCTCTCCCTCCTTCTGGCCCAGTTTGGCCACACTGTCTCCCCAGGATGGTGCCAACCCCATATTGGGTCCTCCTGTCTCATGTCTGCCTCAGATTACTCCCAAGGCTCCCAGAGAGTTGCTGACCAAATGCTGCTGGGAGCTGGTCCTCCCACCTTGCAGCCCTTCAGGGACCCCGCTGCCCCTCATCCTCACACCCTGGTCCTGGCCTGCCCTTTATCCTCATATCCTGCTCCCACTTACTCTTCAACCTCACATCCTGGCTCCCACCTGCCCTGCATCTCTGCAGCCTCACTTCACGGAGACCCTCCTGGAACCTTCCTGCCTCAGTCCCCAATGCACAGGCCAAATGCGGCCTCTGTCATCCAAGGGACCAGCGTCTTCTTTGGATTCTGCCCTTTATGAGCACACTCTGACCCTCCCCCTCCGCATGTCACACTCCCCTCATTCCCCACATCCCAGACCAGACCTCACCCCTCCAGAGCAGGCTACTGTGGCCCAGACTCCCACCACCCTCAGCCACTCCCCCACGGGCCCCTTCCCCCCGTGGGTGCTCCCCCTCCCTCTCTCAAAGCTCCTGCTCAGTGGCTGACACTAAGAAGCAGATTTGGAGCCAGGAAGACAGCTGACTAATTTGGATTTTCTAATATATATATTTTTTTTTTGAGAGAGAGATTTTCACTATAGGGCAAGTGCACTCACCAGACAGACAGAGAGAGACATAGGGACAGAAAACAAGAAATCACCTCCCCAGGGGGGTGGTCATGCCGCAATCCCTTCTCCTCCATTCTCTTTGCGGGATCTTGGGCATGCACACACACGCACCCGGCGTGAGTTTTAAGCCACCGGGTCTGGGACGCAAACCCCGGTCCACTACGTGGGAGTCCAGCGACATAGCCATTATGCTAACTGCTGGTTCCTGGTTTTCTAATATTTTTAATTAGAGTCGAGTTCATAATTCCTCACAATGGAAACCCACTTGTTCAAGGTCCTGGAACCTCTAAGGCTATTCTGAGCACAGAGAGCCCAGAACCTGCTACTTCCCAGACTGTCCCACAGCGCCCCCTGCTGGATCTACAGTCTTGCTCCCTCCAGACCTTAGGACCCTACTGAGGACATTGGGCACTAGGCCCCTGATGATGCTGACCACCTTGGATCACCCTGGTCAGGGATCCTGGAAAATCAGGTCATACAGGAGACAATAAAAGCAGAAAAGGCAAATCTTCCTTCCTCAGGGACTTACTGGTGTTTGAGGGATTTTCGGGTTGGAAGCAGGAGGAATCTAGAAGCGATAGACAATGTTTCCCAACAAAGTGAGTCCTTAAAGCAAGACTTCTGGTGTGTGTTGGCACGTGGGGAAGTGAATCTATTAACGCTTGAGACAAAAGGCAACGGAACAGCAATGTGTCCCCAGCTCGACACAGGTCCTGATCCCGGACATCCCAGTCCCTCTGCTGTGGGGAATCTATGTGTGCCCTTTATTGTCCCCCGGGTCAGAGTACTCTGTTACAGCATCCTGCTGGGCGTTGGAGGGGCAGACAGCAGTCAGGCTAGGTCAGGGAGACCCCGAGGGACCCCCTGGAGTCACCACAGACTGTCCTGCTTGATGCTTTCTGTGACTTGAGGCCATACAAAGGTCCTGCATGTTCCGAGGGGAGGAAATGGGCACAGGGAGGGTCTGATGAGCCATTTCCCTCAGAGGTCACCTGAGCTACACACGGTCCCAGGCAGTGCAGCAGCGAGGGCACGGGCAGGGAGCACACAGGGGAGGTTCAATCACGCTCCTGTGGTCTGGAGCCCTGTGTAAGGGCCAGTGTTGCCTTGATAAGTCCCTCCATGAGAGTCGGCCTCATCCTCAGGTGCAGCTCAGAGATACGCAGAACACCTGCAATGGCCGAGGTGTCTTTGGCTCCAGAGAAGCGGCTGGGGATCCTGGAGCCCTGGTCCTGTCTGAGTCGGACTTGTACCTCAGGAGATCCTTGGAGGACTCCTTGGCTTCTGCTGGTACCACTGTACACGATTGCTACCAATATTGCAGCCCTGTATGCATCCTACGACTAAAGATTTTTTAAAGCTGAGTATATGAACTGAAAGAGACAGGTTCCATCCTCGTGTGGTTCGCAAAGGTGGGAGAAATGGGTGTGGAATCCCACCAGTGTGGGGTGTGCTCTCGACGGAGCAGATTTCTGTTCCCAGGGACTTTCCCACCCCTGTCCAGAGAGAAAGCTGCTGGGACAGCACAGAGGGCCTTGCTCAGGGGACTCTGCCAGTCAGAGAAGACACAGCTGCTGGGTCTCCATCAGGGAGCACAGGGTCAGCCTCAGGCACAGGGTCCTCTGAGGAAAGGCCCTCACTGAGGAGCTGTGCGGACAATGGGGCGTCCCCCAACACTCCTTGCTGGTCGCAGCACACAGGGCCCCTTGGCCCAAAGACCTGGGAGCCCAGCTGGTCCTTGCAGCTCCCCAGGCCCTGCTGTGCTCATTACAAAGGCTCTGATCCTGATTCGGGGACTGTGATCCTGACGGTCTCCCTCCCAGCAAGTGCAAACATTGGCACAGGCACGACACGGCCTCAGCTCCCCACACAGCCTAGAAAAGATTTCCTGAGTACACGTGCTTTCAGGGTAACTCGCCCACAGGGACAGGTGAGCAGGGTCAGGGGCCTGTGGAGATCCTAGGAACATGTGAACATGGGACTTCCCAAGACACAGTGCTCAGCGTCTGCATCTGGGAAGAAGAGCACCCTTTGTCCCCCATGCAGTGCCCAGGAAGCAGAAGTTCGGTGGCCTGTGCATTGCTCTGTAGGAGCCTGCCAGCAAGTCTTCGCAGGGAGCTCTTGGCAGCAATCAGAACGTGCTTGGTGCTCTGCTGTAAAAGGAACGCAAAAGGACTAGGACTCATGACAGCAGATGGCGGTCATGAGAGTGGAGCATGAACAGTTTTTGTCCCACGTCCCCCTCCACCTGGGTCACTGTGTTTAACTGTTGCTATAAGATACACCACAGATGTAGTCAGCCTCGTCCTCAGGCTGGAGGTTGGAGATGGTCAAGTAGCGGTCGGCCCCAGAGCTGGAGCCCGAGAAGCGATCAGGGATCCCGTCCCCCTTGCTGTGGCTTCCATCACTTTTAAGCTGCATCACAAACCGAGGGGCCTTCCCTGGCTGCTGCTGGTACCACTCAATGATGTAGGTGCTGTGCTCCCTGCTCAGAGTGCAGGTGAGCTTGGCCGAGGCTCCCGGGGAGGCAGAGGTAGACGGCGACTGAGTCAGCACAGGCTGGGCGAGGGACCCTGGAACACAGACACCCATTATGGCCTGAGGGAAAAACAGGAGAAGGCATTTATCCTGTGGCTGGAGGTGGTTTCAGGACAGGGATCAGGATGCTGAAGATGGTCCTGACCTGTGCAGTGGAGGAGGAGGCCAAGGCCAAGGCCAAGGAGGGAGAGTGGGGTCCAGGCCATGGTGCAGACGCCCTGGAGCTGTGCTGAGGCAGACACGCTGCAGGTCTCTCTTATTCTCCCTCTTAGCCAGAGCAGGGGAGGTTGAGGTCTTTCATGCAAATCCTCTCCTTGTCCCCTTTATATCCCTCACCTTCCCTGGGCCTATGAGCTGTCCCAATGGCTGGTGGCAGTTCTGGGAGGGGGGAAGGGCTGGGCCTGACCTGAGGCTCCCCAGGGAACCAGAGAGGACCCAGCTGCTTGGCCCAGTGAGCCCTGAGTAGAGATGAGGAGGTAGGTGTCAGACTTCCCACGTGAGGGCCCCACAGGCCCCTCAGCGCAGGCCCACAGCGCCCCCTGCTGTCCCATCCCAGAACCATAGTTTCTGTGATGAGATGGCAGGAGGTCCCCGGGGCTCCTGCCTTCACTTGGCCTTGACCACTGCCCTAGGGCAGAGCAGAGCAGTCAGGAATCAGAGATGGGGAGGGGGGCAGGTGAGGGTGGTCCTCACTTGAGATAAGACTGGAGAGGAAGGTACTAGGGAGCCTCCACAGTTGGCAGAGAGGTCAGGCCCAAGTGAGGCTTGCTGTGTGTTTGCTTTCATTTCTGCTTTTGTTTCTGTTTTACTTTTTTTTTCTTTCTCTTTCTTTCTTTCTTTCTTTCTTTCTTTCTTTCTTTCTTTCTTTCTTCTTTCTTTCTTTCTCTCTTTCTTTCCTTCCTTCCTTTCATTTATTTATTTTTATTTGAACAAAGATAGAGACACACAGAGAGAGAAAAGCAAGAAAGCAAGCCATTAGGTCCAGGACTTGAACCATGGTCAACCATGTGGGAGTGTCTAGTGCCTTAACCATCACGCCCCCTGCTGGTTCCTCCAATCCATGTTCCCAACCAGACATCTGAAGTGTCTTCACCCAGACACTGGGAATTAGAGGAGGTGGCATGTGTCGTTAGGTCACATGGGTGGGGCCCTTTCCCCAAGGAACTGGTGCCTTTTGGGGAGACTTGTACACAGACCACATGTGGAATTAGGGTGTCTGAAGGAGGACAAAGCCAGAACATGGTCATCTATAAATTACAGAGAAAAGACTGAAAGAAACCAGGCCTGCTGCCCTTGACCTGTCTCTCCAGACTCCCAAAACATGAAGGAAGAGATCTCTGGCAGTGAAGACACACAACTGGTGGTGTCATGCTCTGGAAGCCCCACAGACTAGTGCACCCCTCATGGATGCTGAGTCCGGAGCAGTTCACCCCACCACCCAGATTATCGGTGCTGTTTGAGAAGTGTTCACACGGTGCTATTCACAATGACTGAACTGGGGGTATACTTTAGGGAGTGAGAAACATTTCTCTAGACACATCACTGAGGAGAATCTCAGATCTTGGTTTTGGGCCAAACAGAGGAAGCAGCTTAATTGGACACAGGTAGAGGCTGAGCCGAGAAGACCGAGGCCTGGGCAGAGGTTTCTTCGAACATTTTTTACAATGTTCGAAAAACCAAAAACCATGCTTCACAGTGTTAGAAGAGAATTAAAAAAGGATAAAATTGACAGAGCTATAAACATTTGTAGGAAAGAAAAAAAAAAAAAAAACCAGGGCCAATTCTGCAGCAGAGAAAGAAAGAGAAGGTTCTTGTCTCCCTTCCCCGGCTGAGTATTCAGATTTGGAGCCCGAGAAACGAACAGGGACCCCTGAGGGCTGTCTGTTGTTTTCATAGATGAGGAGTCTTGGGGTTGTCCCTGGGAGCTGTTGGTACCAGTGCACATCAAATATTCCAGTGTTGTTGCTGCTTCCAGCGCAGGAGGTGGTGACCCTCTGGCCCAGGGCCCCAGACACTGAGGACGGCTGAGTCAGCACAGACTGGGCCCAGGACCCTGGAGGTGGGAGAGACATGGAGGGTGATTGTGGTCTAGAGACAAGAGGAGGAAGCAGGGCCCATGGTCTCCCCAGGCCCTTCCCCCGGCCCTGTGTCTAGTCACCTGTGCAGTGAGCCAGGAGGGTGAGCAGGAGAGGGGACCAGGCCACGGTGGAGGATCCCGCAGTCCTGCCTTCTGGGCCCACAGCTGAAGCAGAGCTTCCCCCAGTCTCTCCCTTCCCCTCTTCATGCTCTGAGAGGGGGTGATACATTTATGCAAATGAGCCCCCACCCCCAGCTTGTTGGTGTGTGCACTCACCAGAGACAGAGAGGGAATGTGAGAAATCACCCCTCGGGGGAGAGGGCCATGCCTCAATCTTTTCTCCCTTTTCCTCTCAGGATTTGGGGCTCACACCCACACATGCTCAGTGGGATTCTCAAGCTACCAGGTGAGGGACTCCAACCTAAGGGTTAGCACATGAGATCCAGTACCTGACCCACCACGCCCCCTGCTGGCCATTTTACCTACCTAGAGGATAGGATCCATGTAAGTGTTATCATGAGATATTTGCCATTTCCAACTGGTTTATTGTATTAGCATAAAGTCCTCAGTGTTCACGACATTGTCATGTGTGATAGGATTTCCATTAAATTTATTTTAAATTGAGAAATAATTGTGTTTGGGTGTATACATACAGCATAGTAAGATTCAGTGAAGCTAGGTGAGATCCACAAGACATGGAAAGGAGATCTGGGAGCCCGGGGACCACGGGACGGGGCCGGGTGGCAGAGAATGCACAGGAGGCCCAAAGGCAGGTGCTGGCGGGAGGAACTCATGCTGCTCCCCCCGCAGCTTCCTAACGTGGGTGTGAACACATTCCCTCTGTGGGGAGCTGGAATGTCTCAGGTACAGAGCAGGCTCAGGATCTCCCATCCTCCTGCAAGCATCATGTCTCTCTGTCTCTGTCTCTCTAACTAATGAGGCTCAATCAAAATAGGATCTCTGTGCACTTGTAGATGATGGTGGTGGGTGAAATCCAGGTGAGGCACATGTCAAGGTCAAGGTCAAGGACTTGCGTCTCCAGGAATCACCCAGTGCCCTTTGCTGGGGGCAGCTCACACATGTTGACTATGGACAGAGGTGACGAGACCTGGTGACAGTGTTGTGCTATGGACACACGTATGAACAGCTCCACAGCACAGAAACTCGAACTCCATCAGGGTAGGGAGGTGGCAACAACCCTCCATGTCCACACACAAAACTAAGACCGCCATATCCTGACAAAATATGCACATGCAGGGGACCAGCCGCTGTGACTTCAGTTCCCACAGGGTCTGTGAAGGTAGGAACTCAGGCTGGCCTGGGAAACTCCTCTCTGCACTGAGTCAGGCCTGAGGGGAGGGAAGAGGGCTCAGGGCTGCTCA